GTCAAGGTTTGCCCTTTGGAAAAAGATTCTAGTTTTCTTTTGTTTCATTTTGTTTTGTGTGTGTGTATATACACACTTGCTCAGGTTTTCCCCAGCTTTCCCTATTTCCACATAAGCAAGAGGATCAAATGAGATGATGTATATAAAAGTTTCTGTAGGGGCTGGGGATTTAGCTCAGTGGCACAGTGCCTGCCTGGCAAGCGTGAGGTCCTGAGTTCAATCCCCAGTACCAAAAAAAAAGTTTCTGTGGGACAATAGGGATTATCATAGTTATAAAGATGGTTATATTTACATAAATTATACCTTGCCATCCAAATACCAACACCTTATAGATTTCTCCATGTGTATTAATATTTTCAGACATCCACTCAGTTGCCTTCATGTATTGGAAGTTCTTAAAATGTCCTTATCATGGTAAAAGGAAATCAAAAGTGGCCTACTGCATGGTTTTATATTTTTTCATGTCATATTTCCCCATGTGCGTAAATATTCAAGACATCAGACCAGTTGGAAGTCTAGAGCTTTGCAAAAATGTTCTATTTCAGTTAAGGTTTGTATTGTGTAGGATTAGGTTTGACTGTGTGCAACAAAGTCCAAAATAACAGTGGTTTAAACACAAAGATTTATTCTTTCATGGAAAAATTTGAATGTTGGCCACTCAAGGCAAGCGTAGCAGTACTTCAAGTTGTTCTGTCTTTCTGTTTCATCTCCCCCAGCACTGATTTGCACCTTTAGGTCAATTCATGGCCTAAAACAGTAATTGAATCTCCAGCCTTCTCATTGGCATTCCAGGCATTAGAGAAAAATGGAAAGCAGGGAGCCAAAAGAGGACTTTCATAGCTATTTTTCCCTTTAAGCAACTGTCCCTGAAGTCTGACATTTTGGTTGACATCTATTGGCTAGAATTTACTCATATGTTACCCCTAGCTGCAAAGGAAGGCTGAAAAATAGTTTTTCCACTTGACATGTTGCTCCAAGATTCTGTTAAATGGGAGAGAGAGAGAGAGAGAGAGTGTGTGTGTGTGTGTGTGTGTGTGTGTGTGTGTGTGTGTAAAATGGAGCAACTAATAGTCTTCCTGAAGGTCCTTGTTAGGCTCTGTAAATAAGGAAGCTTAATTTAGACATCATAAATTACGTTGGGTAATTTGTCACATTAAAGGAAAGTTTTATACTGGAAACTCAGGCATTGGGCCGTCTCTAAACACTGGCTTAACAGCAGAGTGGTGGAATTCGAGTTGGGCTGGCTCTGAGGAAGTCTGTCATGGAGCCCAAGTCAAGAGGCCACAGAGCACTGTGCCTTGTGGTCAGTGTGTGCCTCTCAGTTGAGGGCCCTTCTGCTCTGCCCCTTGTGCACCACATACAGGAGTCCCAGTGCCAGGGGTCAGCAGAGCCCTGCATTACCCCTAATCACTTCTGTACTTTATTAAGAACAGTTTTTCTCAGATGTCCATTAAAACTGTGTTTGAATTAAGCATTATGAACTTGCTGATTTTGCTAACAGTCTCAGATGACAGTGTGGAAATCAATAATCAATAGTACTGTGTCTACTTCTAGCAGTCATTTCAATGTGTTGCTAAATGTATGTATTATTAAAATATTTAATGTATTTTAAAGTAATAAAAATGAGATATCTCAAAACCTTACTTTAAGCCAGGCATGGTAATGCACACCTCTAGTCTCAGCTATGTAAGAGGCTTTCTGAGGTGGGAGGGTCATTTGAGCCCACAAGTAAGAGACCAGCCTGGGCAACATAGCAAGAGCACATCCCAAAACAAAACAATAAAACTGTTTTAGTCTTCATAGAATAAAAACTTTACACAGTGATTCTCCGAAATAGTTGTTGAGTTAAATATTCAATTTATACATATTTTCAGTTAATCTGTTGTTACCAAGACAGGAGCTTTTAGCGTTCTCTCTCAGACACCAGATTTAACTAAACATTACAGTTCAATGAAGGTACCTGGTAAAGAATGCAGTTCTGGAGCTGAATTTTGATCCATAAATAAATTACTCCTGACCTAATTTTTTTTTTTGGTACCGGGGATCAAACTCGGGCCCTTGCACTTTCAAGGCAGGCAGCGGAACCACTGAGCTAAATCCCCTGCCCTACTGACCTAATTATTGACATACTCCGATTAATATGAGATCAAATAATTTCAAACAATCTTTAATAGGCACTTTCCAAGTTGAAGGAATTTTAAAGGACATTAAGACTACAAAAAAGTGCTCATGTCAAATAGTAATCAGGAAGATGCAAAAAAGATAAGCATTTTATCAGCAGAGTGGGAAAGCTTAGGAAGATTGATAATATTCAGTGTTGGCAAGGATGTGGAGGAAAAAATAGACAGACTGTCAGGTACTCTTATGCACTGTTGGCGGTAGTATAAAAGGATGAACTGAGGAGGGCACTCTAGCAGAACCTTTCAAAATTTTAAATGTAGGGCCGGGGATTTAGCTCAGTGGCACCGCACCTGCCTTGCAAGTGCAAGGTCCTGAGTTCAATCTCCTGTACAAAAAAAAAATTTAACTGTGTGTAACCCTTCAACCTAGCAGTCCTCCTTTCCTCCCCATTTCTCCCTCCCTTCTCAGTATTGGGAGTTGAACCCAGAAAGCACTGAGCTACATTTCAATCCTTTTTAAATTTTTTTTTTCTTTGAAACTAGGTCTCAGTGACTTGCTCAGACTGGCCTCAAGCTTGAGATCCTCCTGCCTCAGCCTCCTGAGTAGCTGGATGTGTAAAACCATGATCAGTCAAACCATGATCACTCTCTGAATAGCAATCCTATAGAAATATTTGTTCCTGCCAGGGCTGAGGATTTAGCTTAGTGATTCTACTGCCTGCCTCACAAGTGCAAGGTCCGGAGTTCAATCTTTGGTACCAAAAAAAAAAGATTTGTACATGGCTAAAGATTGAAAAATTAGGGGCCAGGGATTTAGCTCAGTGGTTCCACCCCCAGCCTCACAAGTGCAAGGTCCCGAGCTCAATCCCCAGTACCAAAAAAAAAAATTTTTGATTAAAAATAAATTGAGAATTATAAATAAACTGTAGTAGATGTGTTGCAGAAATCTCGGAAAGAAATACACAGAGACACAGAATTCAGATAAAATAATAAAATTTATTCTCACGAGCAGGCGGAAACCATTCTGACTAGTATCCGCCCCCTTTGTTCAGCATTTCCCTTTTTATATCCTTTTTAGGCATTATCTCATCCCTAGCTGTCTTTGATGTGTAAATATAATTCCAGTTCCTATTTACAAGTCACAGACACAAGATAGGCACATATACATTGTAAATTCACCCTAGCATGGTAACTTTGTTAGGTTAATGAAGTTACCCTTAGAGTTAGATAGCAGGCACCTTAAACAAGGAGTTATGGGAAAAGCAAATCTTAAAGGAACACTTACTTATTTTGCTTCTACGACTACCTTAATAATCTATTAAGTTATCTAAAACTTTTCTGTATGAGATGCACTAAGTTTTTCAGATCATAACTGAAGTAGAGTACCTTTAAAAAGAAAGATTAGTATAAATGATAGTGCTTAAATGATGAAACTAAACCAACTAAATAAATTTAAATATGTAAAGCCGTATTTCTGAAGGTTTTTCTTCAGAGAAAAGTGTTCCCTACACCAAATTTTGTGGGATGGGTTTGTCTCAGAAAGTCTATAAAAAGCAAAGTTGTTTATATGTTGACCTTGTGTAAAAAGTTAAAATTCTTTGTACTATAAGCGACAAATGTCCAAACAAAGACTGATGAATATCACAAAAGGCCAGGAACAGGTCAGGCTTTTACCAAGGTTCATACAGGACTACCCAGTTTCTCTTCTTTCCAATTAGTGCCTCCTCGCCAACTGGCTCAGGTGTAATTAAATCGGGAGGTTGATAACACTTCCACCAGCAGCACAGGGGCCAAGTAGGGGGGGAGGGGACAGTCACACAGAAGCAAATGAGGGTGGGTCATCAGGGGAAGGTTACATGGGTACTGCCCTGCAGATGGCTAATTCTATAAAATATTTATATTGCTGAGAATCATGAGCAGAGCTCTTGGACTAATGTGGTGTGTCTAATAAAACTTTCTGGTTGAGGTCATATTTTTTATCAGTGCTATCTATGGAATAAGATTCAAATTGCTGAATGATGAATACCTTGTATAGCTGGTGATTGAGGCTGTCAGGGAGCTTGAAGAAACCAGTTTTAGGATCACTGACACCTTAGACTAATAGAACTGAAAGAACCTTCTTGATCACCAACCCTCTCACTTCTTAGAGAAATGAAAGACTGGAGAAGCAGTGTAACATGCTTCAGATCACATGCCAGGTTTGTGGTAGAGGTAAGACTAGAAAATTGGTCGTTCATCTTCTAACCTAATACTCTTTTCAGTAATAATGATAGTGTTGGGCTGGGGATTTAGCTCAGTGTTTCCGCTGCCTGCCTTGCAAGCACAAGGTCCCGAGTTCGATCCCCGGTACCAAAAATAAATACAGTAATAATGATAGTGTTAATAATAATAGCCATTCATATTTATTATTGCTATATGCCAGGCAATATGCTAAGCATTAGCATTACATGTGCAAAATCTCATTTCATCTTCACAGTTGCCTTTTCTTAATTTACTGGAAATAATGACAGAGAGGATCTTGTTCAGTTGACTTCAAATGCTTCTCCCATCCTTTTCTACCTGTTATTGTAGGCTGCAAACAGGCCTTTTTCTCCCCAGGTCAGTGAGTGCTGGTTTATTGCTTTGTCTCACGTACAAAAAATGGAATGAGTGAAGAAGTCTGATCACAAAACCTGTTGTGTGTGCCTTCGTATAGACTTCACTAGATTGTAGGCTTTATAATGACTAAATTTAAATCAAACATTATAAAAGGCAGTCTTTAATTTTTTTTTTTTTTTGTACCGGGGATCGAACTCAGGACCTTGCACTTACACAGCAGGCAGCAAAACCACTGAGCTAAATCCCCAGCCCAGTCTTTAATTTCTTTATGTCTTTAAACAGGTACTTCCAGCAAGTCAATGCAGAACATTCCGTATTATTTACAAATCAATGAAATACTTTTAACCAGCGATCAAGAATTTCTCCCATGCCACTTAATGGATCAACATTGGAAGTTTTATGTGGAATGTGAGGAACTAACTTTCTAAAGAAGCCTTGTTTTCTTAACAATTTTTTAGATATTTGTTCATGTTATCAACAAACCTTCATCTTTCATCTTGTGTGGACTTGTTTAACATACACTTTATATGTTGCAACTTAAGATGTGTATTTACTGTTACAAGAAAAGTACAACTCCAAATGTTATTTGCCATTGAAATAAAGGCATTTCTGAGCTATAGCCTGTATTGGCTCTCTGATTTTCCTTTTACTAATATAAACTTAAAACTAACCTTCCAGTCAACACTTCTACCTTTGTATTAATAACAGTTGTTGCCTAAGGAAAGAAAGGACACATGGAGTGATTCATGGATAATTGGCCTGGAAAAGACCCAGGTAAAGTGAACCCACTTAAAATAAGAACTTCAATACCCGGTGTCTTCCCCATTTACTTTGAAATTTATCTCAAAAATTAAATGTTAGGGCCGAGGATTTAGCTGAGCAGCATAGCGCCTTCCTGGCAAGCCAAGGTCTTGAGTTCAATCCACTGTACCAAAAAAAAAAAATTAAATGTAAAATTATGAATGAAGTTTACGTTGAGTTTCATAAAATTTAGTGTAGATATAATTGTAACTGTGACAAGCCTTAGACCAAAGAATGAATTAAGTGCTTATTTGGGATTTAAAAAAATATACTTCACCTTTTGCTACATTGTCATGAAGATTAAAAAACATATTCAAGATTTTATCAAGGCTGCCTCTTAATCTTTTTTTTTTGTTAAATTCTTTTATTGGTACATTTCAGGTATACAACACAATTACATTTCTCATTGGGAATTGTACCTTTACATAATGCATCTTGGTTCTTAT